ATGCTCAACCCTCTGATTTATAGTTTGAGGAACAAAGATGTCAAAGTTGCTCTGAAGAATGTCATGATTAAAATTCAAAGTAGAGATATATTTAAAATGAACAATAATTAAATAAATTGAAGAACATTAAGTTTTAATGCTATTTTTTCTAAAGGGAATTTTTTCATACTTACATGATGTCTTCATATAATAGTACGCATAGTTCAGCACATATTTCTTATCTTAATTCTTATAGTTATGGTGTCTTCTCACAATATCTGTAAGTAACTAAAGGAATGCTTAAGCCACACATACACTGTTGTTTTCATTATTGCTTCATACTTTTCTGTCTCCTTGAATATTCTTTATTTGAAAACATATGGTGTATTTTGTAGTTACACAAAGTTGAAATTTTAGCTTTCTAACAAAATCAGAAGTGTAAATGTGTTAGACATACATGGTCATTTGAACTTTAAAATATATATTCAATGAAATAGATATAATATAGAGTGACTTTACTCAAAGGTATGCATGCAACTAATATACACTATATATATATTATATATATGATCACTTTATGTTCAATTTGAAGGAAAATACAGTAGGATAAATAATCACTAAGTACTGCTGGAACTACTAGATGTCCATACTCAAGAAATGATTTGGGTGGACAGGGAGATAGCTCAGTTGAATAAGCACCTCGCAAGCTCAGGGTCCTGAGTTCAATCTCTGGTATCACCAAAAAAAATTATTTTGATATTTGCCTCATAATATAAAATTAATTAAAATAAAGTTTAGATCTAAATGTAAAGCATAAGGAAACTCATAACAGAAAACATAGAGTACATCTTTGTGACTTTGGGAGCAATGGTTTCTCAGAAATAAAACTTAAAAATCAACAGAGAAAAGAAAAGAAATAACTTGGACTTCATCAAAACTGATACTTTTTAGGTCATAAGGACTTTATGAAAACAGGCAAAACAGACAGCTCAATGGGAAAACATGTACGGTTCAGGAATATGCCACATATATTGATTTTGACAACAGAACAAATGTTATTAATGCAATAATTCTCAATAAAATGACTCAATTGATTCTGTAGTATATTGATCCTAAAGTAACATTACACAATGCATACATGTGTATGTATGCAAAAAAATATATGCTATCCCATAAATGTGCATGATTTTTATGGCATATATCCACTAAAAGTAAAAGTTTGAAAAGAATGAGAAACAAAACAAAAAGATTATATGAGTACACTGTGTCCTATGAAATGCATTTTTCATATTCAATGACAGTTCTCCATGTGAAAATTAAATGACATGATGTACATGTGGAGTTGAAGACAGCACAAAGACAATCCTACTTGGTTTGTGCAGAATGGATGGGAGAGAAGAAACAAGTGGGAGATCACTTGGAAAAAGTGAGAGAAACCTAATATACTGTCTCTGATTCAGATACTGATAAAATATTCAGTAAAGATTATAAGTTGTAAAGTCTTGAGTTTCTGTTGAAGTCCCTAAAAATGCCATGAGAGACAAATGTAAATCTGGAATTCTTATGCAAAAAGTGCTTTTATCTGAGTTCACAGACCATGCAGAACACTCACAAGACCACCCATCAGGAAGATCCCCATGGAAGTTTTCATTCCTAGCCAGCTTAGAAATGAAATATAATTTCTACTGGACACACAGATTTAAAATTCTACAAAGCAGATATGTAGTCACACTATTTGACTACTATGAGGATGGCATTAAGCAACCTGAAAAAAAAAAGAAAACCCACAGAAATTGCCTCAGTCCCAAAATGCAAAATCATGGCAGCCCAGGCTGCAGTTGGCCATTGATTATGTCAGCATCATTACCTGTACCACAGGCACCTGGGCATGCTGGTCACTTGCCGCATCAATGATGTGCTCCAGATGTGTCTAAGTGTCTACTGACAAGTAATTTCAATGTGGTAAAAATGACTTGGATGCCTCTCTGTTAGTGAGCCACAGCTCCTGGGAGGCATGGAGAGTATGGCCAGAGTGGGTTTCACGGAGATTTTTGACTCTAGAGAGCTTGTAGCCCTACAGTGAGGGCCTTTTCACAGTGATCTCACACCCTCATAGGACCAGGTGTTCAATGTCTGGAAGATTTCAGACATTCCCGGTCTCCTCTTGAGGCTTCTCAAAGGGATTATTATGGCTCCAGTCCATTAGTTTGATATTCAAGAGTCAAATCAGATCTAAAGAGATCAAATAATCTCCTAAAGAATATTCCTCTACTCAGTACACTCTAGACTTATCTGAGGGCTTTGAATTTATTCATAGATACTATCATCTCAGACAACAGAAGACTTAAAAAGCAATGCAGTCATGGAAGGATAGAACTTGAAGATCACATGGAAGTTACAACAATTCTAGTCTGAAGACAGAGTATTTTTCTTGAGTTTAATGTTTCACTAATTTTTGCAATAGAGCTATGTAATTTTTTCTCTTTCATCATGCACATTGCAGTGTTTTTGGCCTCTCTTGACAATCTGGGGTGCAGTTGTTAACAAATATCAAACTGGCACTAATTTCCATCTGTCCTCAGCATTCTAAAGACAACTACTTCCTGGTGAAAATGAAGTGGGGGGCAACTGTAATCAGTACAACATTTGAAGGAAGTTGCAAAAGTGTAGCTACAAATAACCTTCACTTATCCTAACTGATGGGGTATGAGGCTGCAAATGGTACATGTAGAGAAATTTTTAAATTTTGATTAATAATTCATTTGAATAAGGTTCAGCATGATGTTTCCATACATGCATACAACCAACCCTGGTCAAATCCAGTGATCTTTTACTACCCACATCCAAACCTTTAGCAATGAAAAATAATTAAAACAGCTTTTCTGGGAAAGAGTAGGGAGGTTCCTCAAATTGCTGAACTGGAGCTACTATATCACCCAGCAACCTTATATATGGATAGATAACCAAAGCAGAGATTTTTTTTTTTAGCTGGAAGGATGTAAATGAAGCACATACTTGCTTTAGAAATAAAAATTTTCCTTTTATCTAAAATGATATTGAACACAAAGTGAGACCAGGGTATTTGTGACATTTATCATATGGATTGAAAGTGATCATCTTTGCTGTTTTATATGATTGTTTAGTAAACAAAAAAACCTCTGTGAGATACAGAATGATGGTAGGGTGCTCTTTGAGAGTTTGAATAAACAGAAATATTTAGAACAGCAGGTATTAGAGAAGTTGTTATTGCTGTGGCAATTCTCTGCAAAATTTCAACTTCGTTTCCATCTGAATTTCTATACCTACGATTGAGTATTTCATGTTCACAAGTGGCACTCATGTCTGCAAAGTGAGAAATGTTTCCATTCATGTTGCAGTACTGAATCTTGCAAACATTTCTTTTTCTGTAGCCCTGTCACCCACACTTGCAGGGATGGTTGACTTGGTGAACAGAAATTACCACTAGGAAGGTAGTTGATGACCAGAAGCACAGTTGTTCTGGAGTGGACTCTTTCTTCCCCCTAATTTTAAGTAAGAGCCAGCATCAGCTGGGTTCACAGGGGCCTGGAGTTTACCTGGTAGTCTCTGGCTCAGCAGGACTGGAGTGCAGTCAAAACTGCACTTCTGACTGTCCCCACGTATTGCTGAATCTGCAGGTTAATGCCACATTATGTGAAACAATGTCTTTGACCAATAACGATGTCACTGTATTTAGCAGAAACCCTAAGGAGTCCTATTATCCACTCTGCATACTTGGGGGCCTGGGTCTTTGTGTCACTAGAGAACATGTTTTGCCAGATTATTTAGCTAGCATGGTGAAGCTCACACAGAACTCCTATCAGCACAGATTTGTTGTAAAGAGGCTGGGATGCTCCTTACTTGTAGAGTGATTGCTTAGCACAGATGGGATTGATTCTCAGCACAGAAAAAGGTTATTTTGTTAAAAAGCAGTTTTACCATGACCTAATTGGATGAATGTAATCATAAGACTGAGAATAAAGAAGTGAGGATTTAGAGAAATGTAGACCCCACACACATCACTAGGGAAAAATCAAACATTGAATAACCACTTTAAAAAATAGCCTACTAGTTTCTCAAAAAGTTTAAAAAATTAGCATATGATCGAACAATTCTGCTTCCAAATATAATTCTGAGAAAACATTTCCAAATAAATATTTGTACTTTATATAAGTATTTGTCCTCACAATTATTCACAATGAATAAAATGCAAAAGAAGAATCTCTATTTCACATATATGATCCTTAAATCATCTAGTTTTTCCACTTGACCTGGAAAGAGAATCCACTGTTGCCTCCCAAGGTACATTGTGTGTCTGCACAAGCTGTGGTCTGAAGACAACTGGGACGTGTTGTGGTCAGCCCTGGTATTTGTTCTTCAACCCAAGTAAACGCACATGGCCTGGCTGTTCCTTTCACTATAGTACTGAGATAGTCCAATTCCTTGAGGTCTGAGCTGAATCTGACAGACTCAGTGAAGCAGACAGGAGCAGGAGATCATTTCACTCAGGTTTCAGGTTCAAAGCCAAGTCCAGCTTGGCTCTGAATCCTGAGCATTTTTCCACTCACTGTAAGTGAACCACAGTACTATTTCCCACT